TTAACAATGTGTATTATCAGCCAGAGATAAGATATTACATAAACTTTTTTTACTTTCTAAATTTTTTTTATTTGACAGGTATAGTTAAAGACAGTGAGAGAGACAGAGAGAAAGGTCTTCCTTCCGTTGGTTCACTCCCCAAATGGCCACTATGGCTGGCACTGCGCCAATCCGAAGCCAGGAGCCAGGTGCTTCCTCCTGGTCTCCCAGACGGGTGCAGGGGCCCAAGCACTTGGGCCATCCTCCACTGCCTTCCCAGGCTACAGCAGAGAGCTGGACTGGAAGAGGGGCAACCAGGACTAGAACCCGGCACCCACAGGGGAGGCCGGTGCCACAGGCGGAGGATTAACAAAGTGAGCCACGGTGCCGGCCCTACATAAACTTTTATAACATCTCTACCCAAGTAGAAGTATCTGCCAGGTTTTAGCAAGAATTTCTCATTTTCAAAAGCCACTTTAAAAAATCATTGCTTTAAATTTCCTAAAGACAAATTGAAAACAAATAAAAGACAAAGATTTTCTTTTCAAAACAACGTTAGCTGCAGAAGTGCATTTAGACTGTTAGGCAGACTCAGATCCCCCTCCTCAGCTCCAACCTGCTGGCTTAACTGGGGGTTGTCGTCCAGGGCTAGACACCGGCAGAACAGGAATCCAACCGTGTATGGGAATGGGACCAACCTACATTACTGATCTGTAATTTTTTTCTTTATGCTTACGATGCATTATAGACATTCTCTGGTTTCAAAACACATCAATCTTTTTTATTCTCTTATGCCCAAGCATGTCCTGAATCAGGGGAATGACTCATCATGGACAGATCACAACATTGTGGGCTGAAATTGGAGAGCCATGCCCCCAGCTGCCCCATTCCTCATTCCCAGTCTCCCAGCCACAAAACGGAGAAGCATCCTCTCCAGAGATAGTCTATGTCAATGTTTCTGGACTCTCCCACTCTTTCTCAAAGCAGCCATTGAAACCCTGTCTTAGTTTGTGAGGACTGCTGTACACAGCTCCAAAGACCGGACTCCTTCACACCAGAAACCTATTTCCACAAGGTTCTGGGGGCTGCAAGTCGAAGATCAAAACACCACCAGCCACACTTCCCCTGAGGGCTTGCACTGTGGTGCATAGAAGGCCACTTTCTCCCTGCCCCCTCACACTCTTCCCTCTGTCTTCCTTCTGTCCCTGTCCCAGTCTCTCCGCAGAAGGCCACTATCAGACTGGACCACGATCAACCCTCTTGACTTCATTTAGCCTCTGTAATGACCCTGCCTCCAAATACAATCACATTCTGAGACTTAAACTTATGAATTTTGAAAGGACACACATTAGCCCATAATGGATATACTTGTAAGCATGCATTCATGTTTCCATAATATGCTAAACCATTCATTTCAGGAATAGGAATTACAAGACTATAGAACTTCTCCAAAATCTGGAATTAAGTAACATATATGAGGGCACTATAACTTTGGGTTGCAGTTACGGACAGGGACAGAGATGGTTTTGCTATTCAGTCTATGCTTTCCATTTGGATTTGCTGCTCAATTGTGTTTCCTTTTATCAGAATCATACTTACTTTTCATGAAAATCATTACCAGAAAATCATGGAAGCAATGGGCACTGATGAGAGTTGAGGAGACAAGAGTAGCCAGCTTCTGCACTTGTTAAAGATGAAGCATTTAAAAGGCTTAATGCAGTGCCTATCATTTGGCCACTGGGACACTTCCATTTCCCAGTGAGACTCCAATGTACACTGCATACATACTTCAGCGTATGTAGTAGCTGTTACCTCTGCCATTTGACACGCCCAGCCTTTGCTGAAAACACTGACAAAGGAGCCATTTCTCTGCATAATTTCCACAGTGATTTCCAAGACACCAACAGCCTGCAATTCAGTCAAGGTGCATATGAGCCATCCACTCACCTGACTCCTTTCACGAAGAAATGATTTTCATTTATTAACCTTTGTGGGAACAATTTTAAATACCTAACCTTCCAAAGGCAACTATCACACAGAGCTGAGAAGCATGCTTGAGCTGTCAGGAACCTCTCATCAAATTACCATCACAACAGGGTCAGTGACCCACGTTGTGGGTCTTTCCATGTGAGCAACAGGAAGTGCACCCTGCGGAAGTATTCGATGTCTTCCAGTTGAGAAATAAAGACTCTTCCTCTGACAAGGGAGACAAGGCAATCTGGTCTACAACTGCTGTTTTTTAATTTCCTGTGTGTGCGATAAACGTAACTTAGGCAGGAGTATGGAAAATAGTAAGAGGAAAGGCCTTGAGAAATGTTCACTCCAGTTTCAGAAGTGGGCTGTGCAGAGGAAGAAACTTAAGAGTCATTGTCAATGCTTTGTACTATCACTGTCTCTTGTGATCATCAGTGGTCCCAAGATCACATTTAAATGGAGCCCCATTTAACAAGCATAAACTTCCACAGGTGACTTCAGTAGCTCATCTGTGTTAGGAGGTGCGAAAGAAAATACTTCAAATGGCCTCCACCCTGCATGAATAACCAAAAAGCAATATATCTGAGCTACAGATCATCATCACCAAAACACAAAACATTCTCCAGGATACACCCCAATCTGCAGCTGAAGTTATTTTCCAAACACAAAGGACACATTGGAATGTGATGGCATAAATACTTCAATAACTTGTTTATCCAAAAGCAAAACACTTCACCATCCAGGAAAATCCATGCTGTCCATGTGACTGGAAGGAGGTAAGCAAGGAACAGACTTGTGTTTCTTATTTCAAAATTATATAAGCCCTAAAATTGGCATTAAAACCTGGAAAATTACAAGCTTAAATTCACCAGATATTTAAGAAATGGCCTTTGTTCAAACACACACACACACACACTCTTACTATAAAAATCATCTTCAACAGTCTGCCTAGAAACCTCCTTAATTGGACCACCCAGTTCATCGGGTGTATTTTCCACTTCCTGTGTGACCGCAGGTGATAGCATTAGTATGCTGTCTACCACTACAAAACAAGTTCCTTCTTTTTTCCAATCTCCAAAACCAGTTTCTCCCATTTCCAGTGAGTACTCATCAGGCCTTGTCAAAGGGCTTCAGCTCTTACCATCTTCTCAAATTCCTTCCCTCTCCCGCCCATTGCCAGTTCCCAAAGCCACTCCTAGATTTCAGCTTTTCTTTTGAAAGCATTCAACTTCGAGGTGCCAACATCTGTAACAGCTATCTTAGCTGCAGTGTAAATTAGTGAAAAACATGACATCTTGGGGCTGGTGCTTTGGCATAGCAGGTAAAGCCACAGCCTGCAGTGTTGACATCCTATATGGGCACCAGTTCAAGTCACGGCTGCTCCACTTCTGATCCAGCTCTCTGCTGCAGCCTGGGAAAGCAGTGGAAGGTGGTCCAAGTCCTTGGGCCCCTGCACCCATGTGGGAGACCTGAAAGAAGCTCCTGGCTCCTGGTTTTGGATCAGCACAGCTCTGACCGTTTCCGCCATCTGGGGAGTGAACCAGCAGACAGAAAACCTCTCTCTCTCTCACTCTCTCTCTCTCTCTCTCTCTCTCTGCCTCTGCTTTTCTGTAACTCTGCCTTTCAAATAAATAAAATATATCTTTAAAAAAAGAAAGAGACTGGTCAAATCCCTCAAATTCTTGGATCTCAGGCTTCCCAGATTTAAAACCAGAAGGAGAAAGGGACTTAGAAGATCTCTGGAGGACTTTGAACTCCGAAAGCTTATAATTTTATAAAATTTTTGCATCAAAAGATTTCCAATGACCCCTTTAAGTATCTCCTATACTATCCTTTAGTCTTTCTTCATTTTCCTTTGCTTCTTCAGCATTCGGAAACTTTTTTAAGAAAATGATTTTTTATTTTTTAAATTGTTATTAACATAAAGACAAAAGACATCATGTATTTCATAGATACAATTTTAAGAACACAATCATACTTCCCTTCCTCTCTCAATCTTGCCTTCTCCTTTTTTCCTTATAATTTTCACAATTACATACTTTGAATTTTCTTTATAATCATAGGCTTATGCATGTGGAACTCTTAATCACATTTCTATCCTTCCCTTGACTTAATGAAATGTAATTGCCTTAAATACAAGCGATATTTAAGACCCCCTTACAAGGGTACATAGCATGGCCATTGCCCAACCCCCAAAACGCATTATTAGAATCAAAGCCATCATATTCATGCATTTACTCTAAAGTTTTTCCACTGATGACAGTAGCTTTTTCTAATTCACACAAAGGGTCTCAGAGATTAGCAACAGCACTGGCACCAAGATGCACTCATTGGTGTGCTTCTCCTTTAGCAGTTCCTCCCATACCAGGTCACCGATGACCTAGGTTTCAGTAAATGAGGACTGAGGGCAGTAAGGAATAACCAGAAACGAAACGGTAGGTCACTGAGTTTACACACAATCTATTTAAAAAATGAAAGAACCAATGAAACTAATTGATCAGAACTATTACAATTTTAATCAGAACTGTGATTTTAAGGTTGAGATTAAACTGTCAGTAGCACATGAGAAAGTGAAGGCAAGAGGAAAGCTTGGGTTGGTTCCAGCCATGAGGGGCCATTGCTACCACCGGAAAAAGAAGATAAAACCTGTGAACTGGGGCTGCACCGCGGCTCACTAGGCTAATCGTCCGCCTGCAGCGTCGGCACACCGGGTTCTAGTCCCAGTCGGGGCGCCAGATTCTGTCCCGGTTGCCCCTCTTCCAGGCCAGCTCTCTGCTGTGGCCAGGGAGTGCAGTGGAGGATGACCCAAGTCCTTGGGCCCTGCACCCCATGGGAGACCAGGAGAAGCACCTGGCTCCTGCCATCGGATCAGCGCGGTGCACCGGCCGCAGCACACCGGCTGCAGCGGCCATTGGAGGGTGAACCAACAGCAAAGGAAGACCTTTCTCTCTGTCTCTCTCTCTCTCACTGTCCACTCTGCCTGTCAAAAAAAAAAAAAAAAAAAAAAAATGTGAACTGGCATAGAAGGCAAGTGAAGGAGAAAGGAAATGAAGCACTGTATCAAGATTTTGAGACCGAGTTTCTGAAAAACTGAGGGAGCCATGAGCTGCAGACAGTTTTCACAAAGTCCTGAAAAGGGCCAAATGTTGGTGGGAACAGACTTAGTCTTACTCAGCTATTAGTATTTGGAACGTCACCATCTTTCTTTCCCCTCTTTAACAAATGATCAGCACAATATCAACTAATTTCTTTGTTAGGCTTCCCAAATTAAAAAAAAAAAAAAAAAAAGCCGACTCCCAACGCTACCTTTCCTCCACTTCTTCAGGCATGGTCTTTGCCAGACTCCTCCCTTAGTCTCATCCTCCACCCCACCGACAGCCAGGCACTCCCAAGACACAGACCTGATCCCGCCTCCTGTGTGCTCAACGACTTTCTCTACTACTGAAGAAAATAGAGTCTTCCACATTCTGTCCCCGTCTACTCTCACAACTTGACTTCATGCTTAGTGGGTACTTCATAGGTTTTAAGTAGCAATCAGAAATGAGATTGGAATCCTGGAAGTCTTATATGTCAGATCAATAAGTTTGCACTCAATTTATGAAGCAAATGGGGTAACCAATTAAACTATTTGAACAGAATTATTAAAACTTTGATAAAACAATAATTTTAAGATTATGATTAAACTGTCAGTACTAAATGAAAAACTTGAAAGCCAGATGAACCTCGTTTTTTGGTTCATGGGGAAAGAAACATACAGAATGATTTGAAAAAACAATGATTATAAGCTGTAATAGAAAGTTTTATGCTCTAGGAGGCAGGCCAGGATGGCACAAGCTTGTTCAATCCATGTTAGCATCTAATTAGATTTTAAAAAATAACAAAAGATGAGGAAAAAAATAAAATTTTCTCTTTTCGGCGGAGGGTGGGGGGATATGTCAAACAACTTCACAGGAAGTTGTAAAGATCCCAATATTTCAATCCAGGGACACTCTTAGTTTAAGGTAAAGCATTCTATCTTGGAACAATTTATAAATCAGAAGCTACTGAAAAATCCTCTTGATCCCCTCCCAATTATTCCCACATGAATGTGAAATGCAGAGGCATTCTAGACTGATGCCTCATCAATTAGTCATTCATAAATGTTAGAACATTTAGCTCAAAAATAGACGATAACTCATAAAAGTTCTCTTTGTTCGGTATTTCTGATCATTAAATTGTCTACAGCTGCAAGCCCGTGGCCTACCAGCTCAGCTGACTGCTGTTTTTAGTTTTTATGTGAATCGTCTCCCAACAGTTTTCTCAATGCATCTGCCCACTACTAAAGACTAAAGATTAGTCAGCCTTAAGGAGCTAAACAAAAGACTAGTTGTCTCCCCCAGTTAGAAAGTGGTAAAAGAAAATCTTAAATGTTCGTATTTCCTTTTATTGTCAGATTTTAGATGCACAGGATAGGCACAATGAATAAAAGATAAGGAAAATGACATTTGAAAAACAGGGAGGAAATTTAAAGTGTACTTCCTGTGGATGGGTAGATAGACTCAGCAGTTAGGCTAGTACAGGTGGCCTGTGACTAGTGGAGTATACAGGATGGTCTTTAAGTAAATCTGTTAGTTCCAACTATAAAATGATGGGCCCTGAGACCAAGAGTAATCCCATTTCCTCTGTGTCTTGTCTTTAGTGTTCTTCCTCTGCCAATGTCGTGAAGCACACAGTCCAAAACAGCTAAACACTGAGACTTTTCTTGTCCACACGCCCATCAATTGCCCAACTTCCTCTTTCTTTTGTTTGTAATCTGGGTGTGTCTCAGTACCTAGTAAATATATTTCTTAAAGTATGTATAACAAAATTTTAAAGACTTAGTCATAACTTCCATGCATACAGAATAAACATACGGTCACTGTTTAAAGAAATTCTTTGATGAATATTGTTATACGGTAAAAATACTGAGAGCTGGGGCCAGCGCTGTGGTGCATCTGGTAAAGCCGCTGCCTGCAGTGCCAGCATCCCATATGGGTGCCAGTTTGAGTCCTAGCTGCTCCTCTTCTGCTTCAGCTCTCTGCTATGGCCTGGAAAAGCAGTAGAAAATGGCCCAAATGTTTGGACCCCTGTACCACGTGGGAGACCCGGAAGAAGCTCCTGGCTCCTGGATTCGGATTGGCCCAGCTCCGGCTGCTGCAGCAATTTGGGGAGTGAACCATCAGCTGGAATACTTCTTTCTCTCTGCCTCTGCCTCTCTGTAACTCTGCCTTTCAAAAAAATAAATATGTTTTTTAAAAAATTGTGAGAACTATCTATTGATTTTCCTCCTATATAATTTGATTTCAACTTAGTTACATGCAGTAGGATATATGTATAAACATTTTTGGTTTAGGAAATACACAAGACATTACGCACTGAAGGTTTGTGTCCCCCTCAAAATTCATACATTGAAACATTTTAAAAATATTTTTACTTGAAAGACAGAGTTACAGAAAAAGAGAGAGAAAGACAGAAAAAGAAAGATCTTCCATCCGCTGGTTCACTCCCCAACTGGTCCCAACATCCAGAGATGGGCCAGGTTGAAGCCAGGAGCCTGCAACTCCTTCTTGGTCTCCCACATGGGTGATGGGGCCAAACTACTTGAACCATCCTCCACTGCTTTCCCAGATGCATTAGCAGAAAGCTGGATGGGAAATGGAGCAGCCAGGACTCAACCCAGTGTTGATATGGAAAGTCAGCGTCACAGGTGGCGGTTTAACACACTGCACCAAAATACCAGCCGCCATGTATGGAAAGTTTCACCTCCAAGGTGATGGTAACAGGAAGTGGAGCCTTTGGGATGATCAGATCATGAGAACAGAGCCCTCATGACTAGGATGAGTGCCCTCAAAAGGGAGCCCCACAGATCCCACTGGCTTGTCCACCCTGTGAGACCACAGTAAGGAAATGGCTGTGAGAAAGCTAGTCCTCCCCAGACACCAATCCCCTGGGACTTCCAGCTTCCAGAACTGTGAGCCATTAATTTCTGTTTTCATAAGCCATTCAGTGTATGCTAATTTGTTAAAGCCTGAACTCAGACACAAATGAACCAAACCTACTTCTATTGTGGTTGCTTTTTTTTAATCGAGATATTCCGAGCAGATTTCTAAGTTTAAGCTCACACAGATGGTCAGGAAGGGAGTCCTGACCTTCATCCCAGATTCACTTTCTTCCATCAGCCTGCAGAATTCTCGCTTCAGGCGAGTACGTAATGCTGTCTTGTTGGTGAGTCACTGTCTTGCTTGTGAGAAACACACCGGCGGTTTCCGTAATATTATCATGGTTTTTGCATACAGAGTTTATGTTTGGCTTTCCTTCACTTCACAAAAATCACCTGTTTCTAGAAACAACCAAACAAAAGTGTTTACACTGGAGAGTACCCAAGGGGTCAGGATCGAATTTCCTTTGTGTGTTTGTTTTTCAATGTTTTAGCATTTCTGGTGAGTGAGGTATACCAGAACTAAAGAGTGCCTCTCCTAACTGACTGGAGAGAGGAACGTGGAAAACAACACCTTATTTACATTAAGTCATCAAAATACCAAAGTTGAGGTCCTCCATGAAAAGGGAAATGCCTTCAAGAACCACTGGGTGTCGCCACTGCAGCTCCTTGCTGCTCCTGAGGTTAGAAAAGTTGGCTCCTTAGGAAGGGCAGGCAAAAAGGGGCAAACTGTTTTGTAATGGACAAAGGTAAGGCTGTTCCAGGTTTCATTCGGGCCACTCTGCCATGCGTATTTTTCTTGCTCTGCAGAAAGAAGGGGCTTCAGTAAAGGAGCCCAGCAAACACTGCTGAACAAAGGCAAACACAGAGGTGCATCAAAACTCATCTGAAGACCTTTGTAAAAACACTGGACTCCACCCAGATCTACAGAATCAAAACTCTCGGGTGGGGTACAGGCACTTATATGCTTATAAAGTTCTCAAAGTGATTCAGAATATCAGTAATGTGTAGAATGCTCTCTTCTACCTTGCCCAACACCATTCCTAACTTAAAACATTGGAGAACATGAGCTGAGCTGACAGCCCACGGAACCATTTTACATTTTCACATCCTCATACACCACTCAGAATGAGTATTTTGAAAGTATATGGGGCCGGCGCCGTGGTGCAGTAGGTGAATCCTCCGCCTGAGGCGCTGGCATTCCATATGGGTGCCAGTTCTAGTCCCGGCTGCTCTTCATCCAATCCAGCTCTCTGCTATGGCCTGGGATAGCAGTAAAAGGTGGCCCAAGTGCTTGGGCCCCTGCACCCGCATGGGAGACCAGGAGGAAGCACCTGGCTCCTGGCTTCAGATCAGCGCAGCTGCGGCCATCGCAGCCATTTGGGGAGTGAACCAACGGAAGGAAGACTTTTCTGTCTCTCCCTCTCACTATCTGTAACTCTACCTTTCAAATAAATAAATAAAAATCTCAAAAAAAAAAAAAAGGCACATTATTCCTCACTCAACCTAGCTTGCTTGCTTTCTTTATTGGTGAAAATTTATTGACTGGAAAGTCAGAGTTACAGACAGAGGGGCGGAGAGAAGAGAAAGAAGATGAGAGAGAGAGAGAGAGGGAGGGAGAGACTTTCCATCTGCTGGTTCACTCCTCAGATGGCTGCAACAGTGGGGCTGGGCCAGGCCTAAGCCAGGAGCTTCATCCAGGTCTCCCACATGGGTGCAGAGGCCCAAACACTTGGGCCATCTTCCACTGCTTTCCCCAGGCATGTTGGCAGGGAGCTGGATCAGAAGTGGAGAGGTTGGGACCCAAACCAGTGCCCATATTGCATGCCAGCATCGCATGCAGCATCATTACTGGGTACACCACAACACCAGCCCCAAACCCTTCTTCTTTCATTTTCTTTCTTGCCTTCATGTCACCTATTTATTTCTCTCTTCTTTAAATTTCATATAGTACAGACTCCTTAAAAGGCAATAATTATATATGCTGCAGTATTCATATAAGGGTACTTTGAAAAGTTTGTGGGAAATGGAATAGAAAGGGAAGTTTCAGGGCAGGCATGGTGCAGTGATTAAGATGGTTAACGTGCTGCTTGGGAAGCCTACACCACACACGGGAGTGCCTGGGTTTGAATCCCAGCTTCACTTCCAATTCCAGGTACCTGCTAATGTGTACCCTGGGAGACAAAAGGAAATGACTCAAGTGCTTGTGCCCCTGCCACCCGCACAGGAGACCAGGATGGAGTTCTAGCTCCTGGCCTCAGCTTGGGCAAGCATTGGCAGTTGTAAGCGTAGTGAAGCAGAAGACTGGAGGTCTCTGTCTCTGTAGCCCTTTCAAATAAAATGAAAATAATTTTTAAATGTTGAAAATTCAATGCAAAAACCTTGAGATCCAGGCATAGTTGTTTCCTAACATGTATTTTCTTTATACTAATTTATTTATTTATCTGAAAGGCGGAGCCATAGAGAGGAAGAGACAGAGACTGAGAGAGAGGTCTTCCATCCACTGATTCACACCCCAAATGGCCGCAATAGCCTGAGTTGGGCTGATCCAAAGCCAGGAGCCAGGAGCTTCATCCAGTTCCCCCACATGGGTGCAGGAGCCCAAGCACTTGGGCCATCCTCTGCTGCCTTCCCAGGGGTATTAGCAGGGAGCTGGATCGGAAGTGGAAATGAATACAGGATGCTGGGGCTGCTAACCAGCTGAGCCACAGCACCGGCCCCTTTTGAAGACCCCACACACACACTCACCCCCATATATGTATTTTCAAACAGGAAGAAAGAAGAGCTGGTCCCACAGCCCTTTCCTTTTCGATCCTCCCTTCTACGACAAGCGCTAATGGCAGCCTCAGCATTGTTTCCAATAAAAACAAACTCCCTTGGCTGGCCAGTCACATCCTGGATCCTGTGTGAGATGTGCCATGGGGCAGGTGTTTGGCACAGCAGATAAGTCACAACTGCATCCCATACAAGTGTGCCTGGTTTGAGTCCTGGCTCTCTGCTCCTAATCCCACTTGCTGCTAGTGCATACTCTAGCAGGCAGCAGTGGTGTTTCAAGGAGTCCCTGAAGTCCCTGCAGCCCGCACAGGAGACCCAGGCGGAGTTCCCGGCTCTTGGCTTCAGCCTGGCTCAACCATGACTACTGCTGGCATCTGGGGAATGAACCAGTAGACGGATGATCTCTATCTCTTTGCCTTTGTGCCTTTAAAATAAAATAAATAAATAAATAAATAAATTGCTAACCCCAACCCCCTCTTACCCCTCTCACTCAAAAAAAAAAAAAGTTTCACATGTGCACGCATTTGCTCACAAAGCCCTGTGTGAATATTACCATCAACATATCTTCATATGTGAAGAAATTGAGGCCAAAATATTACCTCCTCCACGCCAAAAACTCAGTCCTGAAATCCAAAATCCTAACATACATACCTTGTGTGGTTTTCGCTCTCCCTTTTAGAAGCTGCTATGGGTTATCAGAACATCACCTTGCCACTGACCAACTTCTTAAATGTTTAAGGAGACGACTTCATGGAAAAGTGAGATAAGGGTTCAGTGTAAAGCCCCCGTCATGACATCACACACAAGCTGCTTAATGAGTCATTTTTGTTTCTGGTTTCCAAGGAGGGAGGCCAGCGCCAAAGCACAGAACTGCAAGCTTAGGACTTTCCCCAAAATGTTGCTGAGGGAGGGACAGAAATGCCTAATTCTTGGACAAAGAACTCAATTAGTGACTCCCACCTGAGGCTGATGACAAATTGAATGGTTCATAGCTTTTTAGTTGGTAAATCTTGGGTTCTTTCAGCCACGCTGGGTGTATTTCAGCTGTTCTGTAGGAAACGTCAACAATCTCAAGTTTCTTTCTTGCTTTTAGACTTCAAAAGAGATTTTGTGACTAAAAACAGACTCACCCAACTGATCATTTATGTAAGAAATACTGATTTGATTTTAGCATACTCCCTAATTCTGCCTTCTTCCTGACACAACAACTAGGAAGAATATCAAAGCAAAAACTGCATTGCTCAGTCTGATAATAGCCAAAATAATGATTACACTAGCACTAGATACTAGAAACACAGCCAACAGAAAGAAAACAGATCGCGCTCCTTTTGCTTATTTGAGTAAAATTCAGAAAGAAATTATGTGCCCTGCTGAGTGCCAGGGCCTGTATCTGTTGATAATCCAGCCATGACTTTTTTAAATTGAAGTGAAATTCTCAAAACATAAAAATAACAATGGCAAAGTGAGCAGTTCAATAGCATTAATTGAATCACAATGTTTTATAATCGCCCTTTTTTTTTTTTTTTTTTTGGACAGGCAGAGTTAGAGAGAGAAAGAGACAGAATGGTCTTCCTTTTCCGTGGGTTCACCCCCCAAATGGCCGCTACGGCTGGCACACCGCACCAATCCGAAGCCAGGAGCCAGGTGCTTCTTCCTGGTCTCCCATGGGGTGCAGGGCCCAAGCACTTGGGCCATCCTTCACTGCACTCCCGGGCCACAGCACAGAGCTGGACTGGAAGAGGAATAACAAAGACAGAATCCAGCGCCCCAACTGGGACTAGAACCCGAGGTACTGGCACCGCAGGCAGAGGATTAGCCTAGTGAGCTGCGGCGCCGGCAGTCACCCTATCTAACTAGCTCCAAATAATCTCACCACCCTAAAAGGAAACCCTACATCCATGGAATAGCTAGCACCATTCCTTTCTTCCCTAAGGCAAACACCTGGCAACCACCAATCTGTTTCCCATCTCCATGTATTTATCTATTCCGCATGTTTCATTTAGATGGAATCATACAATATACGACTTTTTTGTCTGGCTTATTTTTACTTAGTATGATGTTTTCAAGATTAATCCGTGTTGTAGCGTACTTCATTATTTTTGAGAGAGAGAAAGCGAGCTTCTATCCACTGTTTCACTCTCCAAATAGCTGCAATAGCCAGGGCTGGGCCAGTTGATATCATGGGGCCGGTGCTGTGGCATAGTGGGCTAAGCCTCCACCTGCAGTGCTGGCATCCCATATGGGTGCCGGTTTGAGTCCCGGCTGCTCCACTTCCCATCCAGTGCTCTGCTACGGCCTGGGATAGGTCCCCGGCTTCCAATCAGCCCAACTCCAGCCATTGCAGACATTTGGGGAATAAACCAGCAGATGATAAACTTCTCTGCCTCTCAAATAAAATGAGTAAATCTTAAAAAAAAAAAAAAAAAAGTGATACCACATGAAAAGCAGTTTCCAGCTTTGCCGGAAACTCAAGCACACAAACCTTCTCCTCAAGAGAGCCCACTCTTGTACATGCAGAAGTTCTTCATGTGTCCTTCAAATTTATCACCCAGAATTTTTAAAAGGCACATACTTGAAGGCCAATATTCAATAAAATTAATAATCTTTACTTTCCATCAAAGGCACTTTTAAATGAAACTGGTATTTTCTTTTTTGCGGCAAGTATGCAGCGATGAAGAATACAATCGCTGGGCCGGTGTTGTGGTCCAGCAGTTAAAGGCATCACTTTTGACGCCTGCATTCCATGTTGGAACAACTGGCTCCAGTACCAGCTCCTGTGCTTCTGAGTCCAGCTTCCTGTAACAGACACCTGGACGTCAGCAGGTGATGGCCCAGGTGCTTGTCTCCCAGCCACCCACCTGGGACACCCCTGTGGAGTCCCGGCTTCCTGACTCCGGCCCGGTGCGGCCTTAGCTGTTGCAGGCACTGGGCAATGAAACAGTGGATAGAAGATCTCTTTCTGGCTCTATGTCTCTGCCTTTCAAATAAATAAATAAATTCAAAACTTTCTACCAAAAAAGTTCACTGAAAAATGAACATTTCTCTGAAAATAAAGGAATGCAGTGACTATTAGTCTGTGGTGGGGCCACTGATGTGCCAACAATTTTACACACCATTGCTTTCCACCATCAGTGCAAGAGTCAACACATTGAAGAAGGTACCACTGTGTTGTAGCAGGTAGGGCTGACTGTGGTGCCAGCATCCCATGTGGGCACCAGCTTCAGACCTGGCTACTCCACTTCTGATCCAGCTCCCTGCTGATGCACCTGGGAAAACTATCGGAAAACAGTCCAAGCGTTTGGACCATAACACCCATGTGGGAGACCTGGAAGAAGCTCCTGGCTCCTGGTTTGGATTGGCTAGCTTTGGCCTTTGCGGCCATCTAGGGAGTGAACTAGAGAAGGGAAGATCTCTCTCTCTCTCTCTCTCTCTCTTTCTCTCTCTGTAACTCTGCCTTTCAAATAAATAAATAAAGCTTTTTTTAAAAAAAAAAAAGTAGATAGTCTCCGTATTATCATAAAAATAATTTTACTTTGCAAGACTCTCTGAAAGGGCCTCAGCTTTTTTTAAGGACAAGACTAGAAGTTTGGGATTCCCAAGAAAATCAGTAGAAAAGCTATTCTCTTTTGCAAATGTTGGCAGTGTTAAAAGCTAAAGAAGAGAGAAAAATGAAAAGCAGTCTTACCTCATCCCACATGGAGGTGCCTTGGTTTGAGTCCCAGCCCAGATCCCAATTCCAGCATCCTGCTAATGAGCACCTGGGAGGCAGCAGTGATAGTTTGAGCAATTAGGTTCCTCCACCCGCAAGAATGAGTTCTTCTTTCCGGGTTTCCCTCTGGCCCACCTCAGCCACTGCAGGCAAAGGGAAACAAACCTGTGGTGAAGAGATTTCCTTCTCTGCCTCTCAAATGAATTAAATTCTAATTAGATGATTGTTAAAGAAGTTAAGAATCATAAACTAGTGATTCTTAGTGATTTTGTAACTATTTTAAAATTTACTTGAAATGAATGAAGTTGACCATCCTTTCATTTGATTAATGTTTATAGCGATTACCTATTTTCCTGCTGAACTGTGGTCTTCATACTTCTTACTTGTTGAACTCTACTTTGTGGAACATTAAGCCTCTGACTATAATGTAAATTTAAAATGTTATCTCTAAAATTAAAATTAAATTTTGTTAAATTTTAATTATTAAATGAGTTGAGCTTTAACATACACACATGATTGAGAGTCCTATTAGCATTCTTTTTACCCATAATTCCTGCACCACAGCTGTGGCATCTCAGTTTACTAAACCACCTCTACTTTCTTATCCCTTGCAGATCATTCCAGAGACTCTAAGTAGATTAGTATCTCAGAGTCACGCCTCTGAGCATCGTGGCTTCCCAAGAACTTTCTGTGACTTTCCACTGGCTTCTGCAGTTTTCTCAGAGATTTAAGGGGACATTTCCTCCTTTAGCCCATTATGTCCCTTTGTCCTATTTAGGACACCTGTAAAAATTTAAATTGAGCAATAAATACGCCACTTATGGTAACCTGGAAATAAATATTACGTCATTGAAATACTCAGCGAATTGAAAACTTGGCTCCTAATGGGTTAGAAGAATGTTCATACATTACTAATAGGTGAGAAGTAATTTGTAAAAAGTCCAAAATCATAACACTGAAGATCTTTGGAGTTTGGGCTTCAACCAAATTTCTCCCTTATGATCCACTAACCCTTTTCACCTGTGGTTCTGAAAATTAGCTCCTCATTAGAATCCCTTTGAAAAGTTTTCCAGGCTACAGATTCCAGCCCTCAGCCCTCAGAGATTCTGACTTAACTGATGTGCAATGGAGCCCAGGAATTGGCTAATTTTTTAAAATTCCCTCTTTAACATTCAGCTGAGTTGCTAACACTGCCCTGAATGAGCCTAGTCAGACTGGTTTGCTTATCAGGCTTACAACTGCCACGCTCCTCCACCTCCATACTTGGACTATCCACCCTCTGACACCTTCTACCCACTTTCCACCTACCCTCCCCATGACCCGGCTCATCTAACACCCAGCTCCTTCTCCGCAAATATCCTTCCTGATTGCACCAACCTGTTTACCCTTCCAATTTATCTGGCACATTATCCTGTACCACCTCCTTTATTGTGGCTTTGAATCTTTTTTGACATGCTAATGTTATTTAACTTTCATTTCCCTGTCTACAATGAAAAAGTTCCTTCAGGCCAAGAATGTGCCTTATTCTGTCTGGATATCAAGTTCCTAGCTACTGTTTTGAATATTGCTGCTGCAAAATAATGTTCCTAGATCAGGTGAAGACACCCACATCCCATATCAGAGTGCTGGAGTCTGATACCCAGCTCTGGCTCCCAATTCTGCTCCTTGCTCATACAGATCCTGGGAGCCAGCGATAATAGCTCAAGAAATTGTGTCTCTGTCACCCACATGGGAAACCTAGATGGACTTCCCTCCCTGTTTTGGCTATCCCAACCCTGGCTATTAGAGGCATTTAGGGAGTCAATCAGTGGATTGGGAGCTCCTTCTCTGTCTAACTCTAAAATAAAAGTTGATAAGAACTAGGGGCAGGAGTTGTGGCACAATGGGTAAAGCCACCACCTGTGGCAGTGGCATCCCATATGGGTGCTAATTCACATGCTGGCTGCTTCACTTTTGATCCAGCTCTCTGCTAATGGCCTGGGAAGAGCAGGAAAAGATATTCTAAGTTTTTTGGCCCCTGCCATCCATGTGGGAGACCTAGAAGTGGTTCCTGGCTTCTGCCCAGCCCAGTGCTATCCTGGTCACTGCAGCCATCTGGGGAATGAACCAGCAGATGGAAGAGATACCTCTCTGTGTGTGTGTGTAATTCTAACTTTCAAAATAAATAAATCATAAAATAAATAAATAAAAGTACCACCTTTCAAAAAACTAACATAATCCTACTTTACTGCACACATTTAAAAATTCTCAAACATACAAGTTAATATTTAGCATTCACTTACTACTTCATGGTAATTGTTACATCTGTTATTTCCCTTGTCACAGTAACCCTATTAAATATGTTCTATTTATTACCCTTATCTTCAAGTCAGGTATCTAAGGCTTAGAGAAGTGTAATAACATAATCAAGGGTTAACAAGTGTTAAGAGGCAGAGTAAGGAGAATAATTCAGGTTTATCTAACTCTAGGGTCAATGCTTTTTTTTTTTTTTTAAAGATTTACTTATTTATTTGAAAGTCAGAGTTACATAGAGAGAGGAGAGGCAGAAAGAGCGAGGTCTTCCATCTGATGGTTCACTCCCCAAATGGCCTCAACGGCCGAATCTGCATCGATCCGAAGCCAGGAGCCAGGAGCCTCCTCCGGGTCTCCCACATGGGTGCAGGGGCCCAAGGACTTGGGCCATCTTCTACTGCTTTCCCATGCCATAGCAGAGAGCTGGATCGGAAGTGAAGCAGCCGGGTTTCAAACCAGCACCCTTATAGGATGCCAGCACTGCAGGCCAGTGCGTTAACCCGCTGCGCCACAGCACCGACCCCATGGGGTCTATACCTTTAGCCAATATGCTACTTGTATGTTTATTTATATGTCATGTATTTATCACTCATCTTCAGTCCCATGGTTTTTATTTCAATATCTCATATGTACAAGTAAACATAAAACAAGGGCTAGTGTTAAGCTGCCACTTGGGAGACCTGCATCCCACATCAGAGCATGGGTTCAAGTCCCAGTTCCTCTGTTTCCTATACAGCTTCCTGCTAATACACCTGGGAAGGCAGAGGATGATGGCACAAGTACTTGGGCCCCTGCCACCCAAATGGGAGACCAAGGACAGAGTTCCTGGTGATGTGGGTTAGGCAAGTAGATAGATAGATATGCTGAGCTGCAGCTGCATGTAAGCCACAAGCCCTGGCCTCATGCTCGCTGATCAGAACTGCCCTCTTCCCTGTATGCTTCCTTTACCTGGGAGGGGAGGAGCCATGACAATAGCCACACCCATTCTGACTTTAAAAAAAGAGGCCAGTAATGGGGAAAGGGCCCTTCTTTCTTCGCAGACCAACAGGAGATGTTAATGTGCCTTCTGTCTCTACTTCTCAGTCCACTCTTCATCTATGCCCATGTGTGTATGTATTTGCTTTCTCACCTTTTAAATAAACTTTATCAGTTTGTGTACCACATATGTGCCTGTACATAGAATGCTTCTCTAAATAGAAGGCAAGGACTGGAAATAAAAATTAGACCCCATTTCTCTCACTTCACTGGCTCCTGGTTTCAGCCTGATCCAGCCCTGCTTGTTGAACTAACACTGGGAGATCTCTCTCCCTCTCTCTCTGTCACTCTGCCTTTCAAACAACTAAATCTTTGTTAACAACTAAACATAAAGCAGGCATTTGTATTCTGGACACCAGGTTGAACTCTTTAAAACTGTTAGTATTAGATTCACAGAGGGCGCAAACAGAGGGTCCTAAGGATTCCAGCGGTGGACAGGAAGCATGGAGTAGACTCAGAGGAGGAGTAGGAATAAGCTGGAAACCAGAGGAGACGAACCCCCACCACTTAGGCGGTGAGGAGAATTTCTGGCCTGGGTGCTTCAGTGTGTTTGCACGTAGGAGTTCCACGTGGTGAGATAAGGCCAGCTCCCAGGTGGAGCTGAGGAGGAAGATCTTGGAATTCCAGGGTAATTAGCACTGCCTTGATCCCTTCCGCAATGGAGAGTTCACCAGCTATTTCCTCATTCAAGTCCTTCCCCGATAATAGCTTTGAAATTTGGTTTATTGTGTCAATAATTGCTGTGTTACTCATGGCTCAAAAGTCTGAAATATTGGCCTGGCTCATCCAACCCCCCGCACATGCTGTGAACCAGGTTCACAGAGGTAGCTGGGATTTTAGCACTTTCTTCTTCATGGCCTTTCGGGCATTGACCAAGGCAGCCACCAGGAATCTCATTTGACTTGGGTTCTATGGCCACAGATTTCTCTTCAAAGTTTCTTGATACCTGAGATCACACATTTTAAGCTTAAAAAGAACGGAAACTTTAGAACAGAGTCTAAATTTGATTCTAAATCGAGGGGAAATACGGGGGAATTTCAGTCTCTGGGAAAGAATGGATTGTGAAGATAAAACAAGTGACCTCGGGGAGTCAGAAGTACCCATTCTGTCTAGACCTGCCCCTGAAACCAGGAAAATCCAGAGCTTCCCAAAAGGTCTTTGCCCTTCAGAGGATTGCCAAAGAAGCCCTAACCAGAAGGGGGTGGCTCTGGGAGATGTGCCAGGACCAGCAATAAAGCTCTGAGAGGCAGGTTCCGGGATCAAAAGAAATTGTGAAAACAGGGGATTGCTCAACCTTACCTTCACTTAACACAGTTACTCACAGCATTAAGTAAAATAATGATAATGATAATGATATAAGTATCAGAATCTCATCTTTCATTAGGTACCATCTGTCAGAAAAATACAAAACAGGTTTATACACACATCTAAACTATATTTTTTAAAAAGAACTAAAATTAAAATGCTTCTGCTATCTATTTAATAAATAATATGATCTTATTGTGTACATATGGATGGATTTTAATCACCAGAGATAACTTGGTGAACAAGAAATGATTGTTGTTTGCATAAATGCTTGTTTCTAAGAGTTATTTAAACAAATCTGAATGACAGGAAGAAGTCAATCCCATGAAGATTTATGGAAGGCACATTCCTGGAAGAGGAATATATTTCATCAGAAATAAGGAAGGGCACTCCAATCCCTGAACCTCGCCCAAACAATTATTTATTTTAGAGGAGGAGAGAGGGAAAAAGAGAGAGAGAGAGAGAGAGAGACTCACCCACCCACTGGTTCACTCCCTAAATGCCTCCAACA